TTTTTTTTGGGTTTTGAGTTTGGTAGCTCTGAATTAGTTGATTGATTGAGATTAATTATGTGGAGACTTTTGTTTTCATATTTGCAGAAGTCTTTGGCAATTAGATTGTTTGTAGAATGATGTTTCTTCAGTTTTATATTGTTGAATTTTGGGTTAAACTTATTAAACAAACGCCATTTGGGCAAATGCGATCTTTGTGTTGGACCCAATCCCCCTATATATTATAATACAGAACGCGCTGAGCCTACGTGGCTGCTTCTTGTGCTTCGGAATCCTATGTGGCAAAATTACATGCTTTGTTATTATGCTTGGGTAAATTTTAATTTAATTCCAAACCAAAAATAATTAGGTTCGGATTACCATAAATATGTTGATTATTTATGGTTATGTTACATGTATTAATTGTATTTTAATATCATTCCTTATTATAACTATTGAATTGTATATATATTTTAAAAGTTAATAACTTTTGTATTTTTTATCAGTTTTACATATGTAATATATCAAATTAATCTTCTTTTGATGAACTTCGATTTAACATCCATATTGTATGTATAAAAAAATAATTTATATTTATCTTTATAACAATAATAAAATTACTTTTAATATCAATTAGAAAAATAAAATTATTTATCAACTAATATATTTATATTTCAAGTAGTTATATGATATAAGTTATAAAAACTAATATAATATAACACATGTAAGTCATAAGTAACACATATCATTCCAAGATAAATATATTGTTTTTTTGTAAAAAAAGTAAACTAAATTTAATATAGTTTTCTCATTAATTTTAAAATTTAAAAATAATTTTTTAACAAGCACCCGTGTAATACACGGGTGTTGTACTAGTAGGAGGATAATACCGAATTAATGACGCCCCCTAACCATCTTCTTAAACTGTTTACATTAAAACACTCAATCACTATTTAGACAAATTTATTCTTTTTTTGTTCATTTATATTCTTTTTAATGGACGCAGTTATCTTTGTTGGGAAATAAGGTCGGATAAGATGGAATAATAATAACACACCAATGTGAAATCGATAAAAGACACGAAAGTTTGTTAACCCAGTTCGGATTAAATCCTACGTCTGGGGGCGAACCAAGCCAGGAGAATGAACTAGAAGATGAGGATAAACCGAATGTTACAACTCACACAAGCCCGTATGAATACACTCTCTCTACTCTTTTTCTCTCTATCTCTCTTGTTATGTTTTCTTTTGTTGTTGTGATTTGGTTCATCACAATCCCTCTATTTATAGAAGAAGAGTACACATATTTTTTCCACATTTGTGTACTATTAATGTGAACAAAGAAGAGTTGTTGGCAATATTTGTCAAATGGTATGGGCTCAACTACCCATTTTTACCTAACAATCTCCCACTTGAGGACTGATTTCTATCTTTCCTCACACCTCATCGATCAACATGTTCATCTCTGCTCCTGGTTCTGCCGGGTCTGTCTGTTTTAATCATCAAGGCCGGTCGAAGCTACACACAGCTTCAACTTTTCCAAAGTTACCACCTTGGTCAACATGTCTGCATGATTCCTATCTCCCCGAATCTTTTTCAGCTGCAACATCTTCTTCTCTAGAAGTTGCCGGATGAAATGATACTTAACCTTGATGTGCTTCGTTCGCGAGTGAAACGCGGGATTCTTTGCCAGATGAATTGCACTCTGGCTATCGTTGTACAGAGCCACATCCTCCTGAGGTCTCCCAAGTTCATTTAGAAAGTTTTGCAGCCAAACGAGCTCTTTGGCTGCCTCCGTCACTGCCACGTACTCAGCTTCCGTTGTTGACAATGTGACTATCTTCTGCAGCTTTGAGATCCAGGATACGGCCGTCCCACCGTAAGTGAACACGTACCCAGTAGTACTCCTCCTCTTGTCATGATCACTTCCTGCAAAATTAGCATCGACAAACCCAGACAGGGTAAGGATACCCCTGCCAAATACCAATGCCCGGTCCTTAGTACCTCTCAGGTACCTAAGGATCCACTTTACCGCCTCCCAGTGCATCACTCCAGGATTGCTCATGAACCGACTGACTACTCCCACTGCATGTGCTATGTCTGGCCTGGTTCAGACCATAGCGTACATTAGGCTCCCTATAGCCGAAGCATAAGGCGTAACTCTCATCCTTTCTTTTTTAGAGTCATCCTTGGGCGAATTCTTGTTGGACAACTTGAACCGGCTTCCCAATGGTACTCCAACCGGCTTTGCAGTATCCATTTTGAATCTGCACAACACCTTCTCAATATAATCAGATTGAGAAAGCCAAAGTTTACCAGCATTCTTGTCCCTCGTGATTTTCATGCCCAGTATTTGTCTCGCTTCTCCTAGATCCTTCATATCAAATTTCCTTGATAGTTGATCCTTGAGCCTCTCGATCTCCTTGACATCTGATCCTGCTATCAGCATGTCATCCACATATAGCAGTAAAATAATGAAAGAGTTACCGAACCTTTTCACATAACAACAATGATCAGCATTACATCTGGAGTATCCAATCTCCAGCATGAAATTATCGAACTTTCGATACCACTGTCGAGAAGCCTGTTTCAGTCCGTACAAGCTCTTCTTTAGGCGGCAGACATGCTGATCATTTCCTCTATACCCCTCTGGCTGCACCATGTAAATTTCTTCTTCGAGATCCCCATGCAGAAAGGCCGTCTTCACATCTAACTGTTGCAACTCCAAATTTTCCGCCGCTACCATGCTTAACACTAGACGAATAGTGGTTAACTTAACAACAGGTGTAAAAACATCGGTAAAGTCAATACCGTATCTCTGTTGGAATCCCTTCACTACAAGTCCCTTGTATCGCTTCGTCCCATCTGATTCCTCCTTGACCCGATAGACCCATCTGTTTTGAAGAGCCTTCTTTCCTTTTGGGAGATCACACAAATCCCATGTGTGGTTCTTCTTCAACGAGTTCATCTCGTCGTCCATCGCAAGCTCCCACTTGCTCTTGTGGGCATCTTTAACTGCCTCTGCATAACAGTCGGGTTCCCCAGAATCAGATAAAAGTAGGTAATAAAGAGAAGGGGAGTACCTATCTGGGGCCCTTCTCATCCTCGGTTCTCGGCCCAATGCCAGAGGCGTGCTGCTCTCAGCAATCAGTTCATCCGATTCTACCTCTTCTTCTGTACGCTCGATCTCATCTATCTGAGCTCCCACTGAATCTGCTGGTCTCATGATTCTGGTATTTGAAATATCGAGACCAACAGACTCCTGCATGGTCTTGTCATCGTCTGGGTATTCCTTCCGGTCTTTGTACATTATGCCTTCATTAAACACCACATTACGACTGCGAATAATTTTCCGATTTTGATCATCCCAAAATCTATACCCAAATTCGTCAGTCCCATATCCTATGAATGTACATTTGATGGACTTAGCATCCAGCTTTGTCCGGTCGTCGTTCAAAACGTAAGCCAAACAACCAAAGGTACGTAAGAAAGAGAGATCAACTTCCTTACCACTCCAGACCTCTTCTGGAATTTTGTTGTTCAGTGGGACAGAAGGCCCCCGGTTGATCAAGAAAGCGGTCGTGCTGACTGCTTCTGCCCAAAACATCTTGGGCAGTCCACTCTTCAATCGCATGCATCTCGCACGCTCATTCAGCGTCCTATTCATCCTCTCCGCAATGCCATTTTGCTGAGGTGTCCCTGGGACCGTCTTCTGCATTCGGATCCCATGATCAGCGCAGTATTCCTTGATGGCTTCACTGTTGTACTCACCACCGTTGTCGGATCTGAGACATTTCACTTCCAGACCTGTCTCTTTCTCCACGAGTGCTCTCCATCTCCTGAAAGTATCAAAGGCTTCGGATTTTCTTTTGAGAAAGTACACCCATACCTTTCTTGTGCAGTCATCGATGAACGTCATGTAGTACATCGATCCTCCAAGAGATGTCACCGGTGCTGGCCCCCATAAGTCAGTGTGCACGAGCTCCAGTTTTTCTGTATTTGGAGCTCTCCAAGTGGTTATGAAGCTCACTCGCTTCTGCTTTCCAAGCACGCATTGCTCGCAGAGACCTACGTCCACTGACTCCAACTCGGGCAAAAGTCCTCTCGACTTTAGTACCTTCATTCCTTTCTCGCTCATGTGGCCCAAGCGACTGTGCCACAAGTGCGATTATAAGACAGCTCCTGCCATGAGAATGTTTGAGCTGGATCCACTCGCTGTGTAAAGCGTTCCTGACTTCAGCCCTCTTGTCAAAGTCATAGCTCCTCGGCTGATCTTCCACTTTCCGTCTCCAAACATTGTGTGGAAGCCGTCATTGTCCAGCTGTCCAACTGATATGAGATTCCTCTTCAGTCATGGAATGTGCCTCACATCCCGTAGGGTCCAGCACGACCCATTTGCGGACTTGATCTGTACATCTCCCTTCCCTACAATTTTTAGGGATTTGTTGTCTGCAAGATATACCACGCCAAAATCACCTGCGGTGTATGGCTCCATGATGTCTCTGCTACTGCAAGAGTGAAACGAGGCCCCTGAGTCCACGATCCAGTCATCGAGCGAGCTTCTCACACTCAACAAGAGTGCATCCGCCGTGTCCTACGTGGCGACATTGGCTGTCCGGCCTTCTTTGTCCTTCCTTGGTGCCCGACATTCGCTTTTCATATGCCCAGGCTTCTCGCAGTTCCAACACACCATCTCTTTCTTGCCTTTATTCCTCCCCCTGGATTTTGACCTCCCACAGATTTTCCCTCGTATTTCGGGTCTCCCTCTGGACTCTGTATGTAAGGTTGAGCCAGACGACCCACCCGTCTGATTTCTGCGGGTCTCCTCGTTCAACATCATATCTCTTATGTTGTCGAACTTCATCTTCTCCTTGCCAGAAGAAGTGCTCACCGAAGTAACAACCACGTCCCAACTGTCCGGCAATGATGAGAGCAAGATTAGGGCTTTTACCTCATCATCAAACAAAATATCC